TGCCAAGCGACGAAAACCCAACCCCGATGGCAAACACCGGGGGGGGGAATGGGGGGGTCGATAAAGGATCTTGACTTGCATATAGGCATGGAATTGAGGTAGCTCGGCGTTCGGTTCAAGACTTGGCACGTGAAGATTTGTGCATGACAGCTTTTTGTTTTTGCTGCTGGCAACGCGATGGTTGTATCCGCTTCGTTTCGGTGCAACGGCATCGAGAAGGGTGATACAAGGCATATCCTGGGGACAAGAGTCAAGTTTGAAAATCGAATCGTGTGCTGGACACGGGCCTAACCATAAACGGTGGGGCTAAGCGGTTGCTGGGAATTGCGTATGAGAGGTTCAGGGGGGAGAACAGGGAAGAGACTTGCCGCGAAAACAAATCAGTACAATCAGGTTTTCACCGTGGGCAGATCACGAGGCTTGTTCTTGACAATTTTTTGCCTTGCGGACATGTACGAGGTATCGGTTTTCCCGTACACAGAACTGTGACCATGGACGGCCCCGCGATATCTACCACAAGGCTGACGCTTGCGTGGAATGACACTCACATGACTGAAAAAAAAAAAAACAACGATACCCGACTTCAGAACAATGTTCTTGCAGGAACACCATGAACAGCGGCCTCTTGACCGTAGAAAAAACGCCATCAACAACGTCGCCACGGCTTAAATCGCTCCTCGCCAACACGATCTACACCCGTACTATGTAGGTCAGGGACGTCACCACTGCTCACAAAGTATGTTCAAAATCACACAGACACACGTACCTGGTGACCTCCGACTTGGCCTCTTCTCTTGCACTCCGGAGAGCCTCCGGAGTGCGGGTGGCCCTGTTGACCGAGTGGCGAGTGTCCTCGAGGACGTAGTCGTACTCCCGTCTCGCCTCGGGGAGGAGCTCGTCCCTCACCTGATAACGGCGACAACAGCAGTGAGGTCGAGATGGATGGATGAATGGTGAGTGGTGACAATCAACACTGACCAACGAAGTTGCTTCATGCTGTAGTCTCTCGTGGTAGTAATGCCCCCCAAGGCAAGCTAGGCTAAGCCCCAAGACCAAGCGACACCACGCTTCTTTTGGTGTCGCCTTGTGACGAGTAACGCAACGAACAAGGAGGGGTGTGCTGTTGTGGTCGTGTTCACATAAAGACCGTTCCGTTCTCTCTACCCAGTACCTTCTTCTGTCCCTAGTAGTCCAACACTTGACGCGGTCGACTCCCGTGGCGTGCAGGTCACCGTTTAAGGGATCTCACCTCATATGCCTCCTTCCCAAAGTCTGCCGAGGGTGATTGATCCCCTCTCTTTATGGGAAGACGTGCCGCTTCTGTCTATGGAATGGTGGTTCACATGGAACGCTTTTTTGTTGAAGCAGCACGAGCCTCGGGACCCGATCAAAAAGTCATTTTGAGCCGAGAATACGGCCCTCAACTATCACAAGTGTGACAGCTGTCACAGAATTCACATGAAAACAACGAAACGAGAGCGGTATCCAGACAATACTCACACAGGAGCACAGTACTCTCGGCTGCCTTGAACGGCAATGCCTTCCTTTCATTGGTCAGCTGGTTACGTAGCGCGGTGGATGCCACTTGTAGGAAACACCCACAATGGGCATACCCGAATACATATTCGGCCTGTATAAACATTTTCTGTTTTCAACCGCACCGAGACTGACGTCGTTTCATCGGTCAGCCGAGTAGCGCCTTCGATGCTACCAACTACACTAAAAACACACAACACTACTAATGTACAAGAACTACAAACGGAGCAGGAGGATGTCCAACTGACCTTGGCCAAGTCCGCCTGCTTCGCCTCCAGCTTGCGCTGCCGCTCTCGGAGCTTGTCCACCGTGCCCTGCACCTTTTCCGCCGTCGGATAAAAGTACTCCTCCCTCCTGGCCTGCCCGGCGCTCAGCTCGGGAAGGCGAACTTGCCGCCTGGCCGAGATCTTGGGGTCCCAGCCCCCGCTCACTGTGTCGCCCCTCTCCTGGAAACCCGAAGCACAAGAGACACGAGATGATAGAAAAGTACACAGAGGGTTGTTTTCGCGCAAACGTGCTTCGTGTCCATTGCTGCCCTGTGACCGACCCAATGCTGAGTCTGCCTGATAGATACTGGCGACCATCACTGTTGAAGCGGTACTACCATACGGCGTATATTCTCTCTCTCTCCTTATCCTTAGGTGCACGTGTGTGTCTGTCCGTTCTACCTGAGCCACGAGACCCTTCGCCCGTTGCACGAACTCGGCCCTCCAGGCAGCCTTGCGACCGTCCTCGTCCACCTCGAACTTGGCCGGAAGGCATGCCATCACCGCCCTCATCTCCACCAGGTCGTACTATGAACAAAAAAAAGCGAAACCACGACAGCAACGATACGATAAAAAAAGGTGAGAAGTGAGAGATAAGATAAGATAAGATAAGATAAGGCAAGAGGCAGCACAACGAATAGGCAAGTCACCTCTCGTTTTCTTCGCGAGTGGTAGGTACGTTGTTGCTAGGTGTGTCATCCCATTTATTGGACGTTGGTCATCGCGCTTTTCGGTGTGCATATTGGTACTAACTCCGGGGTCACCGGCCGGGGTCAAGCCACAGCGGAGGAAGGGAAAGCGAAAGACCGCTCCGTATGTCGTACACATGCCTGAGACAACATGCACGACGGCACTGACTGGCTGTAGGTATTGACTAGTTCATCGAATCGGATATTCATTCGCCTGGTGTGAACTCGCAATGATTCTCGAGCATCTTGAGTTCTTCGATCTAGAAGGGTTGTGAAAAAAACGGTAATGCTGTGCCCGGAGTTCCCAACCGCTGACAGCACCTTCATGCATGGATATTCTTTCAATGTCGTTTTAGAACTCTCACAACAGATGAAGTGCCTACCCACCTCTACCCGGACAGCCGGTCATGGCCATAGTGTGCACACTGCATACGGCAAAGGGCGTCATGTCCCTACACAAGAAGCTGTGATTGTTTCCGCTCATCCTCCTCGCATGGCCCCATGCCATGGGATGCGAGTCAAGATTCCTGTGACAACGGCGCGAGGGACCCCCAACCCCTTCAAGGCGATATCGAGGGACCCGAATCCAGTGAAAATCGAGTCAACACGAACATGACCAACTACTTGACTTTGAAGGAGAGGTTGCTATAAAAGTAGGTCACCTACCCATAGTTTCCAATTTCTCATCTTGTTGTTGATGTCACCCTTCTCTTCATCATACACGAGAAGAACCTTAACGTGCGTTATTTCATCCTACATACTTCTACTTACCTTGTCGAGATTGGTGAAGAAATGAGCGTGTGCTCCCTGCAGGAAGTTGCTCCTCGCAATGTCTTCCGGGTGCATCACCGTCCAGTGGAGGAGCCGGTTCTCCTATGATATTGTAGGCATGGGGTTAGGGGCTGGGGGGTGAGGAGAGCGACCAACCACAAGCAAGCGGCGGCAACGAGTCCAGCGCCGCAAGCACGGAAATGTGTGTGGGGGGGGCATTCAAGCACTGGTTGCACAATACCCACAAGGATAACTTTAAGTGTCCAGGGCTGGCTGATTGCAATGGAGGCGTTACTTTCCGAAGCCGGGGAGAGCCTCTTTGACACCTGCCCTGCCACGCAGCAGCAGAAGCACAACGGCATGCCGTATCCGCCTATGCCTCGGTTCGCCAGGGTACACAAAGGGGCCACCCGAACAGTCACGATCGTGACACTTCGCCTTCATCCTTGACATCCCACCTTAGGTTTGGAAATACAACACGGCATCCCTCTATTGCTGCAGGTCTCCATACCCACCCCGAGATACAGCACTTAGTCCATGGTTCCACCACCACCGAGCAAGGACACCGGCCATCACAGCCGTCACAGCCATCACACCCTTGTACACTCGACTATGATGCTACCCTCCCAGTAGCAAATCAATCCGGTCACCTTTAGCCTTAGGGACAAATCCCTCGGATACAGCGAACCCCCCTCGATGGCGCGCTGCTCTAACTCCGACACCGTGAGCCCGGTCACGCCCACCGGGATGAGAGACCGCATGCACCGCAGAGCCTTCTCGTTGGCGGCGGCCTCTCTCTCGAACCAGGCCTTCTCTTCTTCGGCCACGTGCTGATGAATGTAGAAAGGGTTCATGGGAGATAGGCAAGAAGCACAGGGTGGGGCGGAGGCGGGGACTTTGTCTTTAACGGACAGGCGATGTCGATGTCACGGGAAGGGGGCAAGTAACAAAGGAATTTGAGGGTAGGACAGCGCGGTCTGATACGAAGGGAATGAAAAACTACATCCGGCAACACGCCCAGGAGCAGCTGTAGCAGAAACACTTGATTTCAACCATTGCTTCAAGACTTGCAAGGAGACCTTACCGACAGCTCGTTGATGGTGCGTTTGTACCTGCCGTTCGCGAACAACTTACCTGCATACCTTCACAACGTACCTTAATATACTCGGGCAGGGCCTCCTTCCTCTCCCTCCACAGCTCCATGCTTTCGAGAGCAGTCTGGCAGTCTCTCCTGCTCAACGCAACAACGACAACAACGACAACCACGGGGGGGGGGCACGCGAATGATAACGCCACGTGGTTGGATCGAGGGTGCGCACGTGCGACGCAGAACGACAACTGAATGACAGAGACAGAGTAGAAAACGGAAAAGTGGTCCTCCGTTGTTGTTGTTGTTGTTGTCGTCGGGCAACGTCAACGTCAGAAGCTGCAGGAGGCAGAGCTTCCAACTCCCCCCCCCAAGCTCAGGAAAGTTTCACCCTACTCCCGGTGGAGCCACGTTAACCCCTGCCCGCGTTCCCGCTAAAACACTTCGGTGCAACCCCATCCGAAACGACGTTCCGCCATGACAGCACTCTCTCTCTCTCTCTCACCTTGTCTTGCTGAGTCCCTCAGCCATCGCCTTCGTGGCAGCCTCCAAGTCTTGGAGGCCGTTCACAGCCTGGGCGGGTGCAATGAGCTCTCTGGCCCAGCCTACCCTTGCCGTTATGTCTGGCGTTGTAGAAGCGACCGGAATGAGGGGGA